GGTATGGACTTCTGAGTATATTTATAATAGCCCAAACTGATAGTATGAGAACGGCGCGACTCGTAGAGGTGGGGGGGCCGGGGCGCGGAGAGGGGGGGGGGGAGTGACGTCCCGTTACCCTGTAGTAACCGCGTCATAAAGAATATAAATATTTAGGATAGTAACGTGTTGAATAAATTGTGAAAAGTCCAGACATTTTTTTTAAGCGTCGGTTTCAGAGGCGGGCGATGGTCGAGGGCTGTCGGTTTGTGGGTGTATTCAACGTTGTTTGCAACGTCTATTTAGCCCACGGCGGAGCGAGGTTTATGGCAGTATAACAGAATAGAAACAATAGTTTGGATAGCTTGCAATTAGGAATGGCGCGGGCGGGAAAATTACCCTTTTTGGAGATTAAAAAAAAATGAGCGAAGAAGTTCTTACCGGTGGCGAGGAGGGAGCGCCTCCCACCTCGGCGCTGCGCTCCTCGCACACTGCTTGAGCCACGTGCTGTCCCCACTTTTTTAAACTGGATTTGCGCCCCTGCTGGTGTCTGTGTGTGTGTGTGTGTGTGTGTGTGTGTGTGTGGGTGTGTTGTGTGTCTGTGACTCACGTGTGTGTTGTGTGGTGTGTAGTGTGTGTGCCGCGCGCCTGTGTGTGGGTGGTGTGTGTGTGTGCTGTGTGTGTGTGTGTGTGTGGGTGTGTCGTGCCGCCGTGTTGTGTGTGTGTGTGTGGTTGTGTTGTGTGTGTCGTCTGTGTGTATGGCGTTGGTGGTGCTTGTGTGTGTGTGTGTTGCTGTTGGTATGCGTGTTTGTTTGTTCGCGTGTATATGTGTGTGTGTGTGCGTGCGTGCCGTGGGGGGGCATGCGTGCTTGCGGACGTACGTACGTATGTATGCAACTTAATAAATGGAGTTGGAGTTGATGGCGCCATTATTAAGTGTACTGATTGAGGGAACCTCCACAAGTCACCACTCAGCCATCACAAACCGATTGTAAAGCCAAAAAATCACGGTAAAAATATGCCCCACTTGAATTATTTCTACCGCGATGAAAATAATTATTTCTTAGTACAATGGCCAACAATAGACAGCAGAGGTATTCGCTATCGTCATCGTCAGTTCCAAGTATTTATAGTCATGCGATAGATGGCGCAAGCTGACGCCTAGAAATAACATTAGCACTTACTAAACAGCAAACAGTGAACTACACTACTAGTAAACAGGATACAACTTCTCAATCTCAGTTTTAAGTTTTCTTGTACTTTTTGAAATGGCTCCGAAAGACAGTTACGTTAGTCCAGTAATAAAGTACTTGTTGTTCTTTTTTAACTTTTTTTTTGGGTAAGTATCTTTATAAGCATCATGTTATGCGTCTTCGTGATACGTATTTATAGTAATACTTAATAAGTATTTACTATTACTATGAGTAATACTTATGAGTTATAGGTACGGTTATAGCTTAGTATTATACTTAGAGTCCACCCCGCACTCGCCAGCTAGGGCGCTGCAACTCCCATCAGTCCCAACTCCCATTGCCGCTTATACAAATCCAGAGGACGGATACCGAAAAGTTTGCCGAAAGGTGGGTGTTGATCCTAAGCGCTGACGCAGATATCCTGCGCGCAGTTCCACGGAAGGCGCTACCGCATCCGCGGGAACGCTCCTACGACAGTATGCCGCAGCACTTGGCAAGCTATGGATCCGTGCGCAAATGCAGTAGACGCGCGCACGGATCCATAAGCTGCCACAAACAGTCCGCCCAATTTTTAGCGGGGACCAGAGGGGCAACATTTTGGGTGTGGGAGACAACTCGCGACCTTACATGAAGGGTCTAACAGATGGGCGGGGCCTGAGCACCGAAGCTTTGATTTTCCGTGGTTCCATTCCATGTGGTCGTTAGGCGTTCACTATAAGTGTCCAAACATAAAAAGTTCCAAACATAAGAAAAATCGGAGCCATTATTTAATGGCCCAAATTTTGATAAAAATAGTTGATACGAAAATAGTACGCGGATTGTGCGCGCCAGTTACCTCTTTCACAACCATTACGCTGTTCTTATAGAATCGCCATTTGCTCTGGCAGTTCCCCGGAGCTCCGCCCCACTTTAAAAAAGTGCTAGCATTGTGGCAGTCGGTCTATCCTTAGGGTACGAACGAGGTTAGGTATTCTTGATTTCGATTTTCGATTAACAGCAGCCGAAAGTCAAGCATTGAATACAGCTTACTTCATAGCCATTATATATAGTATCTATATGATTTCTGACAAGCTTCTTTTTCGTATATATAAACAATTAAAATACATATATCTAGGCAGCTCTATCATCTATGTGACGCTTGCCTTATTCATATGCACCCCTAGAGTCCGGCCAAATGCAGACGTTATACACTCCGCCTTGCTAATGTGAGGCGTGCCGGCGTTTAACATCACCCCATTATGGGTCTGCCGTCGTCTCGGCGACTAATGCAACCCCTACACTACAAATCTCCCACTGCCATTGTCATTTCAGTATCAGGAACTAGCTAGAGTAAATTGCTTGCTATATAAGCAAGGGTTGTCTAGCTATAGCGAGGTATTCTAATCCTAGCAAAGGACCATTTCTTGGAGCTATAGTTAGTACTAGCTCTAAAGTACTAACTATATACAGGCGTTCTCAAACTTTTTCACTTATAAGCATGCGGGGTGCTGCCTTTACGGCCTAGTTGCGAAGAATTGCGAAGGCGGTTTTGCGTCGTAGGGGGGTCCGGGAGCTATGATATTAGCGATGGCGGCTATATATTTAGAGTGCGGGTGCATTGTAGATGGCGGGGCTCGACGAAGCTCCTTGGCGGCCGCCAGGCCCTATAAGTGCCTCTTGGAGAACCCTGAGTTATAGTATTAGCTACTAGTAGTAGTAGCTCTAGTACTATAGTAGTAACTAGTAGTAGGAGTACTAGTAGTAGTAGCTCTAGTACTATAGTAGTAACTAGTAGTAGGAGTACTAGTAGTCTAGTAGTACTAGTACTAGTAGTAGTAACTAGTACTAGTACTAGTAGTAGTAGTACTAGTACTGGGGGGGGGGTAGTAGGTAAGTATAGGTACTAGTAGTAGGTACTAGGTATAGTAGACTAGTTCTATGAATATGAAGGAATGCAATAATAACACTGGTCATTTCACCTCTAAAGGACAAACGGCAACTGAATGAAGTTATTTACGGGTAAAACTCACGACGTGATGGTGGTGATGGTGCGTATATAGCGTAGTGGCGCGATCTATCGGACGGCATATGTGCTAGTCTGACGTTCGTACGGGCCATATACCGGTCATGTATAATCACGGAAAATTTGGCCAGCAACAGAGCTCGGCTCGCTGGTACTGGTAGGCGTGCATGACGAGACACGTCTCGGTGATTGGCAGTTGCCGTGGGCATGTCTCGACGGAAAACGTTTCAACTCCGTTTTTTAGAGCAAACAAAGCACGCCGAGTAGCGAAAAATTTTGTACGAGCGTTTCTAGGAAATGTCTAGCTACCTGGGTAGTCAAACCCGTCGTGCAATGGCCAGAACTGCTCAACTCAGCGATTATCTAGGGCTTTGGCATTTATAGTGAACCCGTTGATTGCGTAAGAATCGGTGCAGCGTAGTTGTGTTAGTGCGCCACTACGCGGCGTTTTTCGCGCTTCGCGTGGATATCCGGGCTGCCAATTGTCTAGTTAATTTTTTTAATTAAATTTTAATTTGGATTAGGGTCAGGGTCATAATGCACCATAAAAGTTTGATTAAAACAGGAGTTTCAGGCACGTGATTTGTATCAACCAATGGGATTTGGGAGGTATGCAGGCCCTAGCTGCGAGTCACCCCGTGGTGGGGGGAAGCACTCGCCTCGGAACTGGGTAGCCTCTAGTACTGCTGAGAGGGTCTATGTCCCCCAGGGTACTGCCGGAACGTACCCTGGGTACGGTCCGGTATACCGGAACGTACCGGACCGTACCCTGGTACTATCTTATATGCCAGACCGTACCTCGCCTACTCCACTAACGAGACTAGGGAGTTGCCTACGCCTACTCCCTAACCCTAACCCTAACCCTAACCATATCAAATAGTTACCAGGGTACGTTCCAGCAGTACCCTGGGGGACATAGTCTACCCTATGTCTATGAGCTCTAGTACTCTACTAGTAGGGGGGTGTCTCGGGGACCTTGAAAACCTCACCCTGTCGCAAACCACTTTGCGCCCTAAAATACACCCTGTCCCTATATACTGCACTAAAAAGTATTCCCTGTTGCAATATTTGACATTTATCTTATGTCCTTGTCAAGATAGGCAGATATTGGTGGTCGGCCTGGACCTGGTGATATTGGCCCAATATTATTTTGCCAATATTGGGCCGATATTGGACCAATATCTGCCTATATTGACCCAATATCTGCCTATATTGACCCAACATCTGCCTATGTTGGTCCAATATTGGCCTGGGGATATTGGCCCAATATTGTTTTGCCAATATTGGGCCAATATCAGCTTGATGGATGTGTATCTAGATAACCCTGTTCCAATAATGATGTTCGGAAAATATACCCTGTGCCAATAATGATGTTCGGAAAATATACCCTGTCCATCGGCATATCCCCAGTACCTTTAACAATGGGAGTGCCCCCCCTGGAGTCCCAAGGACTTTTGGAGAATAATACTAATAGTAATATAATATTTGAGGTTATTGTTAGGCTAATTCGTAACGACAATTGAACAAATTTATCATGATACGCACACCAAAATCAAATGTAAAATTACTACTAAAGCTCACACCCAGCTAAATTTACATTATGACAAAATAATGTTATTGTTGGCCGATAATCGTTGCACTTTGTAAATAATATTGCAGTTTTAATATTAAGTTTGATCTGTAAAATGAGCAGGCATATAACCGTCATTCAGTCAATATTAACCAATATTACGTAATTGAATGACACTTGACAGTTTCTAATTCGAATTTCACTCTGAATTTAAAAATTGGTTGAATGATGTTTGCAATTGCTTTTTCCACTACAGCTCATTGGTGGTGTCATCGTCTGTATAGGAGTGTGGTCCTTCATACTAAAAGTCATGGAGGATGTCGGTCAGCGAAATATCACCTTTTCAGACTACTTGCTTGACCTTTCTGTGATATGCATGGTTCTGGGTGCAATAATCTTTTGCTTAGCCTTCTGTGGCTGTCTGGGAGCACTGCGGGAGAACACAGTTTTCTTGAAAATTGTAAGTGCAGTGTATATGAATGTATGTCAACATTAATATTCACACATGTCACGTGCCATAACACATACATGGATATTTCTATTTTATAGTCTTGTCACAGCAGTTTATTTAATGAGCACCATGTCATATTGTGCCAGCTTAAAGCTACGCAAGATTGAATATTTTATGTGTATTCATACTGTGGCTTCTATTAGCTGTGAAATAGCTTGTTTTAACTCTACATTAATTGAAATTTGTGCCTTGCAGTTCTACTACCTGCTGATGACAGTGTTTCTGTTGGAGGTGGCACTCGCAGTGTTAAGCTTTGTGTTCTACAACAAGATTCGTGAGCAGGCAGGAATCTTGCTCCCGGAGGAGCTGATATCTCGTTACCGTGAAACAGATGATGACTTCCAGAGTTTGATAGATGGTGTGCAAGTGCAGGTATAGATGGATGTATAGGCATTTTATGATTAAGTGCTGTGGCCGAAGCTTTCTTATCGAGACATACTGTTGCAATTCTAGAGGTGCTATCCAATAATAAATCTCTACAAAACACAAGCTCTGCCCATGTCTTTGTTAAGAATATTTCAGGTTTGCACGCTTACACGTTTCAACCCCCTATGTCAAAGGCAAGCATTTGATGGATATTTTGTCATATTTTCAATCAATCGGTGATCTCTGACAGGGTATTTTATTCTCAATTTATATTTTAGTGGCCTAATTGTGATGCTCGCCACATTTATTGACGTGGTGTCTGTCCATTCTAGTTCAAGTGTTGTGGCGTTTCGGAGAAGAGCTACCAAGACTGGTCATACAACCGCTACTTCAACTGTAGTGATGATAACCTCAGCGTGGAAGCATGTGGAGTGCCGTACTCATGCTGCAGAGACCCTCGCAACCCGAACGTGAGCAATTAACTTCAACGTGGCTACGTGACACGGTATCAGTCGGTATAGTTTAGCGGTGGTTGCCTGGGCTGCATCCTGAATTCTTCTGTATCTCATTTCTTCTTGTAAAAAACGGTTTCGTATCGCCTCTGGTGTTGATTCCGATGCTTTTGGCCGATAACATTTACTCGGTCGCTTTTTACGTCGTATCGCTGAATTATATTGCTGATGAATTACGACTTGCGTGCAAAGTCACAACGCATGACGAGGAAATTGTTCAATCCCAAAATTGGAATTTAACGGGAACAGTACCTTATATGATCGCGTAATAACCGCGGGCGCCTATAAGCCGCACCTCAATTTGAATCGGGTAACCAAGTATTGCGCCTAGTATATTTCCCCTCACGGTATGGCGCACTTATAAACCGCAGAGCAAATACAGGGTTGAAATCTGAGGCCAAATTTGCGGTTATTACGCGATCATATACGGTAATTATGTTTAGCATTTTTCTAAAGGCCGTGTCTAGTGGCTACACGTCCGGTTACCGGACGCCCAGCTCCCAGGCTACTCGTCCGGCCATATATTTCTTATGTGAACCCAACTATATTTTTTTGAGTAAAAACAATAAACAATAGGTTTTTACCATAATATTACTTATCTTTTGGTATTTTAACAAAAAAATGTGTTTTTGTAACTTTTGAAGCAATAGTAGATCCAGTAAAATCTACGATAGAATGGCCTAATCGTGACATGGATTTCGGAATCTGTGCTGAGCTTTGTAATGGATGACCGGACACGTAGCCACTGTGTTTTCTAAATGACAAAAGAAGTCATTGATAATGCGTATATGCATATATAACTTCTCTTTTACAAAGCACTGAAATTTGTATTTTTGAATTTGTATATCTCCCTGTTTCACTTGCAGACGGGCCTTCCTAACACAATGTGTGGGTATCATATACAGGACAAATCTGTGAGTATACTAACGTTTCATTCAAAGTGATAATAAACAAGATTTAATAACAGTAAAATCAACTAATTTTCGATCTAATATCATCAACTATTCGGGTATTTAATCACATACATGCTGTGTCAGTCTTGTAGGAGTAACTGGACAAACACTGGTCCTTTTGATATGTCGTAATGATTCTGCTCTCATGCAGTTTGGGGAGGTGCACCGGCGAGTATACACGACAGGTTGCATCGACGCAATCATCGACGTCGTACATGATAACATGATCACCATTGCCAGTGTTGCTATCGGCATCGCAGTCGTACAAGTGAGTTATCTGCAGACAAACTGTCCGCTGCATAATGCGTCGTCATTTTCACTGTTAAGTTTTAATGAGATGGAAATAAACCGATTTTAGAAGTCGCTGTATTGATTGATGTGTTAGTATTGAATCCAGCACTTGTGCGGTCTAGTATATTTTACAATTTTTGTAATTTACAAATAATTTAGGAATTTTACAACATTAAAGTGATTACGTCACCGTAAATAGTAAAAGTTAAAAAATTATGTCCACTTTTTCACGAAATGTAAGTGATTCTGTTCACTTTTTATGGTTAAATTGCTGCATTATGCTTCCTATTTTGCTATTCCATTCGATGTGAACAAACACTCGTGACTCGTACATAACCCATAGCAAGCATTTAATGTCGTGATAAATATGTCAAATCGCCCAGGTTTTTTGAATTTTTAACTAGTTGAGAAACAATCTTATCAGATTAAAATTCGAGGATACATTTAGTCCCGTTAGTACTTACTTTTCATGTAAAAAAGAATTGCAACAACATTTTTACAAATAGACACCATAGAAAATTCGTGACGTAGTCAATTTAACAATTCACAGCGCAGGAGCAGTAATGAGTATTGCCATTTAAAACAAGATGTAATAGAATTAAGCTTCTGAATGCGACAACATTAACTTCCTGTCATGCAATAATGCCTAAAGCCAGCATGAAATATTGGTTTTGTTAATTGCCACCAGGTGAGAGCCCTTAATATTCAAATAGGTTTTTCACAGGAGTGCATGGGGTTGAAATGGTTATGCTAATTCACATATTTGTTTGTATGCACATTTGCAGCTGATAGGTCTGTATCTGGCAAGGTCGCTAACAGTTCAGATCGAGGATCAGAAGGCTCGATGGAACTACCCCCAGTAACTGCCGAGAGAGAACTGGGAGAGAGCTGGGCAAGCGGGCTCTGTCATCAGCTGTAGCATCCTCACAGGTTCTTTCTACATGTGTTTGTGTATGTTTTCATGGTGATCTCAAGCTGGGTGAAGAAAAGATGGTGGTGGGGGGTCTTGCATTTTTAGCTCATCTGACGAAGTCAGACGCAGCTTGTAGAATCGCATGAGCGTCCGTCCGTGATCTGTGTGTCCGTCCGTCAACAGTTGGGCACAAATCTTAACCGCTCGACATACGGTCACGATATTCGGGACGTCGGGGGGGGGGGGGGGGCTTTGGGGGATGACCAATGTGGGACTCGGGATGGCCAATGTGGGAGTCAAGGGTCAAAGGTCAAGATGTGTCAACGGCGGTCAGGTTACAAGGCGAAACAAAACGAAAACAAAAGAGCATGGCTACTATTACCTACAGCCGTGCAAAACAAGATTCAAACAAAATGAAAACAATAACAAAACAAAAGAGCATGCCTACGGAGCGTCCAAATACTACGAGCATCCAAATACTACGGTACACCCCCATTGAGTAACTATAAGCCGAGAGGTGGGACCGGGTACCAGTCTAGGGCTAAACGAAGGTAGCAACTAGTTCGGATTATCTATTCCCTGCACATAGTCAGTATGCACACCATCTATCGGAACAGAGTGAGAAGAATGTCCCGGCAGGATAGGTCAAATGTATATTGCGCTCAAAATTGCAGAACGAATTACTTTCTTAACTTCAGTTTAATCAATCTTGAGATAAGTAATTGCAGAAATGAATCGTCAAACCTACCAATGAAAATTTGCCAGTTTATAAGTACTGTTCTTGCATGCTCTCTCCGTCGCACGTTACAGTTTTGGGCAATGTCTTTCATGCTGGCCTTGTTGGACGCTGCAGCAGCCCGTGTAGACTGTCAGTAGAAATGTGTTGATTCGTTCCCGACATTGAATAAATCTGTACGTTATACGTGCGTCTCGCCTTAACTCTGACCCGCCATCTATCAGTACGAAAGTTGGACGCATCGCGCGGCGAAATCGGATGTTACATTTTCAAACAATCGATGACGTAAACTGATACCAAGTTAGCCGCCGCTCTTTGTGGGTGTTATTTGTTATAAAAACAACTTTAGTCTGACTGACTTCTCTCCCTCTCTCTCCTCTCACTCACTGCTCTCTCTCTACTCTATCTCTCGCCCCTCTCTCTCTCTTCTCTTTCTTCTCTGCAATAAAAAAAATGTTTGGCTGAAATGATGTGTACACACTTGCGTATCTGCATATCTGCGCCTTAACAATTGTTTGAAGTGTCACTTACGCAACGATGAAATGATTTATCGTCTTTAAACCGTGAGCAACAGGAACCTTCAGATGAGCCCAGTCGCTCTGCGGCTCTTGTTGGTAAACTTCTGAGCATTCAAATATTTATATTGAATATATAATCGTATATACATATTATCTATACAACGTGTTAGGATCTCAATTTAAAATGATAAAATTAAAGGATAGCATTAACGTAGGTTTAAAGGTTAGTAAGTGTTACGACATGTTTAAATTATGCTGTGTAAAATTATGCTGTCTAAAATCACTAGAAATAATGGCAACAACCTTTAAGATATTTTTATTTCACAGCATAATTTAAATGTTATTTAACTCTGGATAGTTCTTATACCTACATTGAAGATATCCTTTAAATATTTTAGGAAGTCGAGGTGCATTAACCATGTTCTGTAGGCATGTTATTAACATATGGCTGCATTTTATTTACACACTTCCATGCATATCAATTTTATGCAATTTTACGTATGTATTACATATATATAGTTCCACATTGTCTGTAAATGCCCCCTGTACTGCCACTGTATACAAATGTGATCAGTGTTGACCCAATTCCTGGTGCTACTTTTTAATGGGAATGTTGGAATGCTGTCAAGAATAATTCTGAAACCATGTATGGTGAAAGTATTGCTAGTGAAATACCTAGCAAGTGCCAGCATGCTCATTGTGGTTAGCACGTTGCAGAAGCATGGATTAATTTAGGAATTGTACTTGCTTGCCGTGATCTTAGAACTAACGTCTGCTGCTTCTGTATTCACTGTGCTGGACTTTACAGCTGTCTTCATTAGACCGATGCCCAATGTTAATAATGGACTACTGGTAACACCTAGTGGTAGTCTTTTTCGCAGTCATTGAACCCTTGTTTTCTGCGGTAAATCATGGTGGCTGTGGTTACTCTCCCATTCACTTCCATGTCAGGGATGTAATTTTGGCCTGTAAATTATTTTGAAATGAAGAATCAAATTGTTAGCGACGCGGGATATTGTTTAAATTCTCACCTTAAGCTGTAATGGCCTATGAGCAGTCAGAGAAATGTTGCATTGGAATATTATTAACTGAAACCTGTCCAACTATGGATCATATTTCTAGAGAAACAAATGCAATCATCTCTGTGGAGGTCACTTCCCCTCTTGCACTGTGGAGGTCACGTGAAGGTCTAAGATCTTCAATAATCTCGCTAGGAGGCGCCACAATTTAGGCTAACATTTTGCAAGCGTCTACGTTATTTCAGTTAATTTTATCTCGATTTCAACGTGCATCTGCATCCACTGCTTATCTAACCAAGAAATGCACAAACACATTTGTGGAAAATGTGGTAAAGTTTATATACCTTAGCAGCACTATACTGAGGAAAGGCATAATATCCTTGGAGGCGAGTATCTCGTAATTTTCTGCTCTGTGTCTCTCACTAGGTGGTGCTGAAGTCGGTTTCTTGTGCCTGGTGGTTGTTGTCACCACTTGTGTGTTTACAATAGTGTTATCAATGCACACGATGCAGCTTTGCTCTCAGTTTTTTTTACAAAATAATTGTGCTTTAATTTTTATACTGCTTACTTATAGGGTGGAATGTTTCAGTTAGATGTTGTATACAAAGTACTGTTTTCGGTTTTTCATATTACTTTCCGATCTAATGTGGGCATTAATACAACGTTACATTAAATTAATTATTGTATATTCTCAATTAATACGCTAGTCATGTGCTTTATATGTATGTCTTCTTTAAACCGTCCGTTCGCACATTGTTTATTTGATTTATTAATGTCTGCATCATTTTAATTGGCTCTCAATATATTTTAGACTTTTCTTTATTGTAGCTAACACTGTCCTTTTATCGTTAGCAACGTTCACGTCTACGATGTATCACATGTATGTGTTATCGCTTCATAGAGGGCAGCAGCAGTTGGATATGGCGACAGATTTCTTTACAGAGATGGACTATATAGATAGATGACCGATGACATAGGAACCACTGTGAATTAATGCAATTTTTTTAAT